CAAGACTCAAATACCCATCATGTGCTGGCTACTTTCAGCTTTTACCAATATCCAGGGGTGTAGGAGTCAGCTCTGAAGTGGCAGTCTGCAGGAGGTAAGACTCAGGCCCCAGACATCCCCCACAGTTTCACTTAAACTTCTAACCAWAGGAGGAGAACAGCAAACATCAATMCAGGGCAGCACCCTTTCCAGGATCAGGTAGCCAATGAATGGAGCTGTAGGGATTCCCTGTAGCTGGAGGAAATGCACAGAGCACAGACCAGTGTACAACACAGGYTTCAAGCTCGGGAACTAACTGGGTAGCATCTGTGGCTATGTTTAGTTGCACAGGGATCTGATTAGAAGGAAATGAACCAGAAACCTGTGAAGTTTTTGAGGTCATTACATTGGGGAAAAAGTCTCCCATGAACAGGAGCATGCCAGCTCTCAGGGCCAGAAAACCCATCTCTCAGCTAGCAGGCTACCTGACCACCAGAGACCACACTGGACCTGGCTGAGTGCCCAGTGCATCCCCAGGGTCTGAAGCTCCTGGATGGTACAGGAAAGACTTGGAGAGATCTGTGTCCAGGCCATGTGGGAAGGTGGTCCAGGATGCCTGTGGCCATAGGGCAGATACATGCTCCTTCTCACCATTTATTCTCTACTTTTCCTTTAAGAACCTCCACAAGAGTGGTCCAGTTCATACTTTGAACATAGCTTTGCTGCTCTAAAGTATACCTGTTTTTCTCTCCTCCCTGATCTACCTAATACCTCCTTCCTAATCCGGGAAAACAGAATTCCTTTGAATAGCCTCTTTAAAAACACTCTGTTCCCCCTGATAGAGGAATCACAGCTTCTGGGACAGGAGTCCCTTGTGTTTCTCCTTTGCTAGCAAAGCAATAACATTTCTTTTTCCTTTTTCTCAAAACAACAACAAAAAGCCAAAAAAAATTATTTAAAAAACCCTCTAAGTTACATAGCACATAAGCATACTCTGAGAAAGGTTTCCCATCTTCTTTCACCTAGATGAGGACAAGGGACTTAGTTTAGGGCAATGAAATATGAGCTGTACTGTGTGTGTGTGTGTGTGTGTGTGTGTGTGTGTGTGTGTGT